GTATGTAAGTACGTAAGTATGTAAGTATGTATGTATGTATGTATGTATGTATGTATGTATGTATGTATGTATGTATGTTTCCATGTACATGTATCTACGTAGTTCTACGTACATGCACACGTTTGTCATGGTTCTTTTACAAACGGCTCGCCTTGATGAGGCTCTATTTGATCAGCAACAGCAGCAAGTACACGCAGAACGGCTTGAAGGAGCTTTGCTCTGCATTGCCCAGTATGAAGGAGCTGAGGTTGCTCGGAAAGCCCTGAGAAATCACGGACAGCCTTTCTACCGACCGGCTTGTGGTTCAGTCAAAATCCGCTTCAGTACGGGTGGTATTTCCGGTACGCGCGTGCTTGACGCGCGGTGCCGGGTTGCAAGAGCACGGCTTGTAGGGTCTATAGTACAATCGATTCCCAGACGATTTGTTTAGACCTCCTGAACTCGCAAGCAGGGCTTTTTGTTCTCACTGCCTTAGTCGGCAAGGTCCTAAAGTTGCAGGGTCGAGAGCGGGAGCATGCATCATGCCGAAGCTTCCAAGGCTGGAATTTCAGTCCAGCGAGGCTGAACCCGATCTCGGCAGCCAGTTTGTCGTGTCACCGGACAACTCGATCACCTTCATGGGCAGCGGGAGCGCTTCGTAGAAACTCCTCGTTTGACGCGACGACCCGACGGTCTGACCAGGGTGGCTTCACTGATATTCACTGATCCCGACAGACCCTCTTGCCGCTTGCATGCCGATTCTCACAAATCCAGCAACGGGTGAGGCTGCTGTCAGCCTCTGGAAGGAATCGTAGGACTATGGAGATGGTCGACAGTCGCTTCGTCTCGCATGCATTAAAACCATGCAAGCAGAGTTTCGCCATTGTAGATTTACTGTGCTTAGTCGTGGCGGGAACCGATGCAGGCTGACCGATTTCGTGTTGGCACAGCGAGTTGACACAGCTGTAGTCCTCGTACATGCAAGATTGCGTGACTGTCATCGCGGGATTGTTGATGTTGCCTGCAATCGAAGACCGTCTTGTGCGGACCTTCCGCAAATTGCAGACACATTCCATCAGCTTCGACTTGTCGTTTTGAGACTTCAGCATTGGAGCTCATTTGCCAAAGCAGCACAGACAAGCCGTCGAATTTGAATGTCTAGCACCTTCGGAGAACACGCTTGCGCTGAGTTTGCGGCCTTATGTGGCCTTGCTCTTTGTTTTTCAGAGTTTGGGGTTGCTGCTAGGTTTTGGCACTCCTCGCAGCAGGTCATTTGGAGCCTCTCAGCTTGGAAACTGTCCGGAGGCGCCACGCTACGCGACACTGCGCATCGCCAGCAGCCAGCGCGCGTGAGTCTTCGTGCGCCGCTGCGCCAGGTCGCACCATGGCCAGAGCAGCGGCCTTAGAGACTGAAGTCAAGAGCCCTCGTCAGCCGCTCAACTGCCGAAAGCTTGAAAGAGCCTTGGCATCACATGACATCACCAGCTTGAACCTCCTCGTCATTCCTTGTCCTAGCAAGAAGCTGTGTCCCTGGCAGTGGCTTCAAGGCTATTGGGCACTATTGGCGAAGGCGCTGAGGCGTGGCACCGTGGCACTGCCGCCATCGTCACACGATCGTGTGAGTGTCCCAGCAGTGCAGTGAGACCGGTAGTTTAGCGTTTGGCCATCGCCATGAGCTCCGGACGGTATGTTTTGGGCCTTATTGGATCTTCGACTCCATCACCTTGAAGATGACGCTCGATGCTGCTCGGTCTGGCCTTGAATTCATCTCAGGAGAGCCGGTCAGCGTGTCTGGAAGTTCTCATAGGAAGCCCAGTGCGCGGGGAGATTAATCGCCTGTGGTGTGTGTCCGCGTGTGATGCGCTCGCGTGGCCTTGCGCAGCGCAGGACATCTCGCTCGTGACCGGCCGGTGCTGTGGAATCACCCACATACAAGACCTTTCCAAGCAAACAATAAAACCTCCAGACATATTATCGCGGTTGTTCTGAATCTGGAGAAATTGGACATCGTGCTCTTGCTTCAGGGCCGTTCCCACCACTGTCCCACGCTTGCTGGCGCCCGCCAACCGAAATCGTCCTGTCGCCACAGCGAGGTGCATATTTTCATATTTTGACAGCAACTCGTGTTTGCGCCTCCAACAATCGTGTTCTCTCCGCAGTGCCCCGCACATTGATGCGCGTCGTCTTCCTGCCAGTCTAAAGTGCATGTTCTGGGGTGCCAATCGTGCTCCAGCTAAAGGTGTGCATTTTGCTTCATGGGAGCCTCACGCTTCCTCTTGGAATGGTGCTTTGGTGGAGATGAAGAAGAGACGGCAGGTAGATGTTTCCACAGATTGTGTCAACACACCCTGTCTGCGGCAAAAGTGACCACTGACGCAGCTCGTGACAGCATCTAGCTGCTCTAGCTGGAGCCAAGATCAAGAACAGAAGCAGGCAGATGCCAATTAACAGTTGCAAGAATCAGAAGACGACGCTTGTCATGTGTGAGCAGGCCTTCAAAGCCGGTGATTTTCTGCGAGCGAAGGCATGCAGTTCTTGGGGCGAGAGGGCTCGGAGTCCGATGTATCTCTTCCAGTGTAGCCTGCAAGACAAAGAGCTCTGCCAGGCTCTCCTGGCTGAAGCTGCTGATCTGACTACTGGCGACGAGCGCAAGGCTGTCGAATGTCTTGCTTCCCGCGAAGTATACACCACTACGCACCCTGCTTCGTTCATCTGATGCAGCAGGCTCGCTCGAGACATTCAGATGTTTACCACTTCGTTCCCAAGAACGACCCTTCTGTGGTTGCACTTAGCAGACCTAGCATGGTTGGTTGGGCTCCAGGCGCACATTGAACGGTCATGCATGTCGCTGTCGCGTATTCACAGCGGCACAAGCTCTTACCGGTGTCTTTCCCACATCTGCCCACCCTGACGACTTCTGCGGCCGACAAACCTACCTACCTACCTGCATGCCTGCCTGCCCGTCTATCTCTCTATCTGGCAAATACATATGTATACATATATACACACCCACACTCGATATAAGGATATACACCACTCCAACTTATGTGGTCTATAACAACATATACGCAAATCAGCGAATAGATAATTAGATACAGCGAAACATAAATAGATAAATGGTTAGAGAAATATACATGAATATAAACACGAATATCGATATTATTATATGTATAAGTACGAACAGATACGTGAATAGCTATGTATATAGATGAATAGATATAACATATATATATATATATATATATGTACATGCGCACATGTTAAACATGTATGCGTGTGTGTGTATATATATATATATTTATATGTATGTCCAGTGGGATTTGTGCGAGGGGGGAGGGGGCGCTCAACCCAACAAGACAAGCCACGCCAGGCAAACATAAGCAACATATTTAGAATATATGTCCGTATACGTATCGATTTACCTGCTCATCATTCTGCCTATCTATCTACCGATGTCTGTCTGTCTATTTGTATGTCTGTCTACATACATACATGTACACGTACATACCCATAAGTGTACCTACCTACATCTGAATATATATATATATATATGTACATGTATATGTATATAGAAATATGTAAAATACAATATGCATGAGTATATGTACATACATAAATGCATATCTATATGTATATATATATATATGTACACATACACAGGTATGTATGTATGCATGCAGGCGGGCAGGCAGCAGACAGGTACGCGTGCGGAATCAGCTGCCATCGCTGAATGTGGTGGCGGCTTTCAGACATGGGACCAGCCGCCATCACCTGTAATGAGGGCTCGGGTTTAAGCTGTGAGCTCAACAACCATCGCACCATGAGGGCAAGTTTAAGAGCTGGGATGAACCTACATCGTCGAATGAGGGGTCGGGCTTATGATATGACGCAACCACTATTGCCAGATGAGGGGACGACTTCAGAACTTGGATCAACTGCCATCCCGTACTGACCGGTCGTGTTTGACATGTGGGGCCAACCGCCTTCGCCTAATAACGGTTCGTGTTTGAGCTGGTTTAATTAAGATCATTCACCATCGCCTAGAGTCTATAGAGGTAGTGAGGGGCAGCGTGTGAGACATGGGGGCATAGGTCATCGCCTAAGGAGGGGTTGTGTTAGAGATATAGAGCATCGACTATCGCCTAATGAAGCAGCGGCTTTAAGGTATGAGCAACCACCATCGCATTTAAGGTATAACAGCAACCGCCCTCGTGTATATGTTGCAGGTTATGTCATATATATATATATATATATGTGATATATATATATATATATATAGTATGTCTGTAGTAGTTACATATACATATCCATACATTACAGGTATATACTGTTAGTGGATAGTAGAGATAAGTTAGATAGTATAGATAGATCAGAGAGTATAGATAGTATATTGTTTATTGTATAGATAGCATGGACACTATATAGTATCTTAAGTATCTGCCGTATCTGTACTATCTAGTAGTATTTTCCTGTTTATAGTATCTACAGTATCTGTAGTGTTTGTAGTATGTGTAATATCCACAATACCTCCAGTTTCCAACCTTTATTGAAAGTCAAGGAATGCGGAAGGAATCACTCCGCATGATGTGGCCGGTAGGTCTCACCAGCATGACATGAGCAAGATACCGGCTGCCTCCACCACCCGCCCATTGATGTGACTCCAATCCTTTCAAGCAGTGTCCAAGTAAGCGAAATGCTAAAGAAACAGTTTTTGCCCGCAGGCTTTTTCTTGCTCGCTGGGCATCGCCGCACTATACCGAGCTTTGGCGTATGCCTATTGCTCTCATGTGCACAAGGACTCACGAGTTGCCAGTGATGTATGTGCTGTTTCACGATGTAAGTGATACGTTTTTTGTGCTGCTTGCTTGGTGTTGCGCTGTCATTCTCAATGCCACCATCGTCTGTGAACCTGTTGCTGATGGGTGAATGTAAGTTGCTGGAATGCAGGACGAACGAATCATGAGGCAGACATCCTGGTTGAGTGCGTCCTGCATGCCATTTCAGAAGCTGTGTTGCGAGGCGATCGAACCAGATTGGGTTGCGCTTCTTGCGCCTTGGCTGTCTGGCAGTAGGGCAGGCTGCTTATGAGCCGCTGACAGGAGCAGCAAGAAGCCCTTTTCAGCACATCTGCACGGCTGAAGTTGAATGTCGGTGAACCCGAAAGCTTTGCATGAACACAGGAGCACAGTGACATGAGCATTGCTGTAGTTCGCAATTATATTGTGGAGCTCATTGAGGCCCTGTGAATGTTTTGGATACATTGAGGTGTGGGCATATCACAAGTGCGACTCCTAGAATCGACGCTGACACAACCGTATGGCTAGCTACCGCAAGGATGCGACCACAGACTAACCAGGACTCAACGTGCAACGAAGAAGCTTAAAGCTCTCGCGAGAAGTTAGCCTCAGACACCACGAAACCAACAGCAGAACGCCAACAAAAAGAAGCAACTAAGACCACAACGAGGCAGCAACACGACGGAAACGGCCAAGCTGTGCGAACTGTCGTGGCAGAAGCGAAATTTATTCACAGAAGCGCTGTCTCTTCATCCTTCGCTACCCCCATCTTCGTGGCTTACGGAAATCCCGTGCATCTCCGGCTTGGGATAGAAGTTGGTGACGATGAAGGTCGTGCTTCCATGCCCCCACTTCTGCTGAACTATGCTGAGCTGCACGTTCCGGCGCTAAGGTGCTCTGCTTGCGAAAATGTGGAAGGCTTCAGTACGAAGCCCCGATACAGATCGGACCAACATCTGACGGCAAGATCGCAAGTCCTCACATCTACCATCCACCCAAGCTGGTTTTCATTTTGCGTGTTGCACGTCGACGTGAAACCAGGACTGACAGCCGGTGAGCCTCGCAACCTGAGGCATCTGGCGATGAATTGGTGCCTTGCTGAGACTGAACGCAAAAGTCACAAAAACGTAGTGTCTTCCTGCTTTGCTGAAGTTTTCCCCTCTGCTTCAACCCAGTACCTCTGAGGCTGACCCATACGTTTGTTTCAACCAATCATGATCAGGCCAGTTGAATTGTGCTCTGCGGAGAGAAGTGATTGCAACGATGCAAGCTGCAGGCCCTCATTGACGGAAGTGCATGGCCAATCGGGATCCAGGAGACTGTTGGTGGCTTGCGCGTCGAGTCTACTCATGCAGCCGAGCCTGGCGCAGTAACTCGTGTGGTCTGAGTCTCGTGCTTGTCTGATTGGTGGAGGACATAAACAACGACCTCACGCCTAACGCTCGGGCTACGCAGATATTATCTGGTTTTGCAACAGACATCGAGCGGAGCACTCTCTTCCCCACAGCGCCCCATCAACTTAGGCAGATAGGTGCCTTGCTTCCAGGTCTGTTTATGCAGCGATCCAAAAGTCTGGGCCAAGCGGTAGAGATCTCAGTCAGTCGGGTATTGCTGTCGCACAGACACGCTTCGGCCGCAGTGAGGCCATGCACCGACAGCGGCCGGGCGAAGAGTGCCTCACGACTTCAGGCCCCCCAGTAGCCAGCTTCCTGTACGGAAGAGGAGAACGTAAGGGTGCTTTCAGTTTTTGTCTTGGTGGCTGTTCCTGCAGTGCAGGCCCAAGCAACCTGGCCTCGCAACACACAGCTATGCCTTGAAGGCTTAACTGACCCCTAGAGCATCCACCAGCATAAAAGGCGGAGTCGAGATCTTGACAATATGTACCTCATCGGCTTGGCCTGAAAAGCTTCGAGCCTGTGAGCACTCAGACTGTTGTTCCGTTTCTGTTGAATCATATTCTGATGCATTGCCGCTTCCGAGTTCCGAACTGGATTTCGCCGAACTAGCCACGAGCTGGGAAGCCTCACAGCTGAGCATCAGCCACCAGGTGTGACACGAACCATGACGGAGAAGATCAAACTCGAGAGACCAAGCTATTCCTGATGTGGTGAAGAGCCGAATGACCGACACTTGCAATCCACCACAAAGAATCGCCGAAACATAGCTAGCAAATCTCGCATGGCCGCTCCATGCCACTGTGTGAGGTTTCGAGTTCTCCTCGGAACATCCAGTCGGTAAAGTGGGATGAGCAATTCATACTTTGTCGGCTGACTTCTCTCATCTCCCTCCGCAACCCATGGTAGCTTGGCAGTTCAGTTCGGGTCGGCAGCCGAGAGGCACCTGGATATGAGAATCGCCATCGTAAGTCTTTGCGTCGTTGCCTCGGGTGCTACGTGCATGCAGTAGTGATTCAGCAGTCTGTGCCGACATGATGTGCAAAACTGCGATCAAGGTGGCCAACTTGTTCCCACTTCGGAGAGAGAGATAGGTTCTTAATGTGTTTCCGGATATTGGTGGCTCAAAGCAGCGTACCATGTCATGAACCGGCCAGCAGCCGGAACGCTTGGCTCACAACGCACCTTCATACTTTTCAAGCTTTTCTGCCCCACTGCTGAAGATTGTTTGGTACGGCTCCAACGAATGCCCAAGCCAGACCACGCACACCAGAGAGAGCTAGATTGCTACTTCCATCTGGCAAAGCATACCCGCCAAAGCCAAATGTCGACATTCAGGAATTCCCACGCATTAAAGTCCAAGCTTGATATGTGTTGCAATGGCACAGCCTTCATCGCTGCAGGTCCCGTTGCAGGGTGGTGAGTGTAAAGATAAGCAGCTAAATCGATGATGGTAGTCGTAGTTTAGCCGTTTGCATATCTCAGATCATAGGCCGTAGGTCTTGGGTACACCGTAGCGCCTGCGCCCATCTTTTTAGTCCGTATCTGCATCGGCATACATGCATATGTGCATACGAGCGAGCAGATGGACACTTCATGTATGCATAAAACAGAACATTGTTTGGTGCCTCATGCAAAGGAGCTCGAAGTGCTAAGCGCTGGAGATATCAAAAGGCTCCTCACACGCGAGGGCGTGAGCTACTGGGTGGGATTTGGCACCTTCTCGCATAATGTTGCTTTTGCTTTTGGGTCAAAGAGCGACGAGCATTTTGCGCTAATTAGTCGATGACATCCCCGATGTATGGCTTTGCGATCGAACGGAGGAAGCAACAATCGTCGTCCGTGCTTTTTTCTTCAGGCTTTGGTGTGGATGACGGGTTGTTCTTTCCCAGGGACCATACTCGACAGGCCAAGTGTGTCGTACCAGCGTCTCTGGATACTGCGTTGTGACAAGTCCCGACGAACAGGTTAGAGAGCACAGTTTTGTGAATGCTGCTGACGCATACGCTTAAGGTACTAGTCCCAGTCAGCCTCCTGATACGTTTGGACATACTTGCGTGAACATGAAATTGTTGAAAAGGCAGGCATATGATGCTCATGATGCTGGCCTCCGGGAACTGATGCTTATGATGTTGCCGAGCTGTGGCCAGGGTGGCAGCCGTCAGCGCGCATGATTCAATTGTTGAAGTGGCAGGCACATGATGCTGATGATGTTTCCATGCGCGTGAAGGTCTTGAGAGGACTGGAAAATGATGTGATGCAAAGGTCGAAGAGGCAGGCACATGATGCTCATGATGCTGGGCCATGCTTGCAAAGGGTTTGAAGGGACTGGAAGCTTAGCCGATGCTCGTGATTATTCCGCGCAGTGGCCAGGGTCTAAGAGGTGGTGGTGATGCTCAGGACGTCAGCCCACGTGATCCAAAGGTTGCAAAAGGCAGGCAAGCTCGTGATGTTTGACTGAGGCTCCCGTGGCTGCATCGAGAAAGCTGACTTTGTGCATCTCGGCTGCCGCCACGAAGTCACCTTACATTACACACGTCACGCCTGTGCCATGCGATGCTGCACAGGAGGCTGGCAGCCAAGACCTTCGGCATTGAGATTGGCTCCTGAGCTTAACGAGTTTGTGAAGCTTCGACAGGGAGCAAGAGGTCGGCCTCTCCGTGCCCAGCCAAGGTGCCCAGGCTGAGGACAAGGCGCAAGACGGAGGCCGTTTGGCCACGAACAGCTTCCGGCCAAAACAGACCGCTGTGACTCTATGTTAAGAACTCTGGTTCTCAATGGCACTGCTCACATCTTGCGACATTGCACGATGTGTACTTGTTTTCTCCTGTCAGGTGCAGAGCAAGACCGGAGCCCTAGCCAGGCACACACCATGTTTCTCTTGCGTTCCCTTCCCACACAAGCCTTCGCTCGAACAACTACTTTAAAGATTAAGGGTACCCTTTTTACTTAAACTTGACTTAGATCTTCAAGCCCACAAGCACGCAAGACTGTCCTGACCCGAAAAAAGCGAAGAAAGCGTGACCGTGGCCGTTGTGGAAAGGCCAGCATCCGCTCGGACTGGAGCGAGGCAGCGAAGGCCTCGGCCAAGGTGAAGGCCAGTTCCCGCGCAACTCAAGAAGACTCGCAGACGAAGTAACTAGTATATACAGTATAGTAGGTAAAGAAGGAAGACATAGTATAGTGAAATCACAAAATAGAGGCGCGTGGGCAAAATGTACGTACATGCACACCTATATTGACAGGTTCGACAAACCTGCAGGTAGCTAGATAGATCGATAATTAGATAGATGCACAGATCGATCGACATATAGATAGATAGGTAGGTAGATAGATAGATAGATACCCATAGGAACAGGTCAGCAAATAGCAGTATAAGGAAGTGGACTCAGCAAGTAAACACGGACATCAATCTTCGACATGATGTGTTTGTATGTATATATCCCGTTTGTATACACACGTATATATATATATATATATCTATGTATCAGTATCAACATCACTAAACACCCATATCAATGCCACTGTCAATAGTATTAGCACTAGCAGTAGCAATCGCAATGGCAATGGCAATAGCAACAGCACTAGCAATACTTGTATCTATATCTATATCTGTATCTATGTCTATATCTGTACCTAGATCTAGATCTGTATGGCATCTGTATCTATCCTTCAAACAGACTGTGTATAATGACTTGTCATTTGTCACTGACTCAAGTTTTCAGCCTGTAGAGAACATGTCGGTGGGAAGGGCATGTACAAGCAACAAGACTTCGTGCTGCTGTAGAAACTTGCCAACGTGCTCATTTCCCTCATGCGGCCGAGGGAACGAGATACCCCAACAGTGGCGTGTTTTTCAAGACTTCCGCAGCTGCAACTGCCACTGGGAAAGCCAAGAACATCAATAATGGTTCAGGACAACAATCGCAGCCGTAGTGGCAGCCGGCGCCGAAGCTCATCTGCACGGTAAGCCACGAAGCTTTTCACACTCCGTTTGTTTCTGCCCTTTCTCCGATCCCTGTAAGGAAGAAGAGACAACAGTCGTGATGGCAGTCCAAGTCAACGAAAGCCAAACGAGTCTTGCATGCAAGCTGAAGACACATGGCTGGACAAAAGCAAGCTGTTGATGTGCTGCCCAAGGACTGGAACGTAGAGTCCATGCTGCTGGTCTGCAATCATGACAACAGAAATATCTAGTATACAGGAAATATAGACGTGCATGTCTGCCCCACAAACCAGCAGCGTTTGCAATCCTCGGGAGTCGAGCTTGGCAACCGTTGTCCCTCTGCTTGCCTTCATGCTTCATGCCCGGAAACTTCGTAAGCCCTGCATCTATCAGTCTTTTTGTAACACTTCAGATTGCCGCAGCTTTCTGCATTTACAAATCAACATTTCATCACAATCATCCGGGGATACATGCGTTTCACAGCAGGGATATGGGAAGGTTTTTACTTGTGCTGCTGAGGAACCAGCGATTTGCGACTCCAGCTGTGCTGGCTATGCTAATTCAATCGCGCACAAGATGTGGAATAGCCTCACCTGTGCGAGCGTGATACCTGTTTATCTGAAGGACATCCACCAGCCTTCCCCAGTCTGCTCCCTTTCCTGGCAAGCCTGCATGGTGCATGCACGCTAAACCACGAAGCTCTAAACCGTCAAACCACCAAGCATCATCAAGCCTTCAAGCCCTGAACCCCCAAACCCAACCCAGGAGGATTACAGCAGACGATGCTGCTGCCTTGACCTTTGGAGCTGGAGGGCGAACTGTGGAGCGGATTGCACGCGTGTCGGAGGCAGAGGTGGAGCACCTTGACTGGAGAGGGTGGAGACTGCTTTACGGCTCAGGGGTTTGGGCTTAAGGGGATAAAGGTCAGTGTGAACGGATTCTGTCTACGCCGGGTGGAAGCCTGCAATTAGTTCCCTTAACCCAGGCTTCTCGACAAAGACCTCGTTCTGGAGATGAGAGGGACAGATTTGCAGAGACGCAGAGCCAAGAACTTCGGCTTGAATTCAATCCTTCACTGAGTTGTCCAATGGTATGCTTAGGGCGCGTTCCACAGGCCAGCTCGAAGTTGCGTTTGGGTGCATGCTGTCTGTTCAATTCTCTTATGGCTCAGCCCAGGAAGTATGCAAACATCGATGCTTGATTGCGTCATAAGACTTCTTGCTTCGACGTCTGTATATCTGTTTCCGTAACTCTGGACTGGAACTGAGATCATGAAGCAGCGAATGGGTCCCTGGCTGAGCTGAGACAGGTTCACGAAACCAGTTATACACAGGGAGCACTGCGCGCCGCCATGCATCACAGACCTGTTTTGCCCCGAACACCCTCCGTCCAAGTTGGAGACATTTCGTTCTGCCACATCTGCCGCGCAAAAAGCGCATGCACCACTTGTGCTATTGGGCTCTCCTCCTGCCTCCACTGCTCTCAGCTGCCTCCTCCGCTTCACTGCCCTCCATCCCGCCTTGTTTCACGCAACGGGTCAGCGAAACCTTGGATCACAGAAACCAAGTGGGGCAATTGGGCAAGTGGCAGAAATCGGTTTCTGCACCCGGACCGCAGCAAGTCGGGCAGATGGCAGCTTGGAAGCGGTGCAAGGTGCAAGTTCGCACATGCAACGTGCTATTGCAGATTTTGGTATGAATACATACATCTCTATGCGAGAGCAGGATAGCACAATAGAGACATCCACTTAAAAGTACGATAATGTCTACTGGCACCCGGTCAATCCATGATGGGTGGGTGCAGTTCGTAGAGCATGATCTCCCTGCACTCACTAGTTAACATCATTGCGCTCTTCGAGCGCCTCAGGTGCACCTGAAGGTGTTTCTCTTCTTCGTAAGGTTTTCTGTTTCCCCTCAGCCACCTGAGGCCCAAATGTCATCACTGATGACTTTGAGGACGGTGATCTCACGGTCCTGAGCGTTCCTCCAGATGTTGTGGCTCACTGAGGGAACGCGATTGCGCCAGACGAGCCG